CTGTGAAGAGGTGACAGATGTTTGTCAGCACTGAGCTGCCCTGTGTAGTCTTCCCAGCCTGTGCAGTTCTTGGTGTTGCTTCAGGGGTTGCCATGCTTGAAAGCAAGTGTCAGATACAAGTGTCCTTGATGCACGTAATGTTGACACTTCAGGCTTGTATACTTCTCAGCCTGGGACAAAAATGCTGCTGCTCTGTGCTAGTGCATGGTTGTTTGCTACTCTGTGCTAATACAAATTGCACCAGCAACTTCAGATTTCAATGTTTCCATCCTTTCCTTTTGTGGACCTCTAAAATAAGATCCTGACTCTTCTGCAACAAACTTCATTTTATTGCTAAGACTGCATTGGCTGCTCCTCACAGACCAGGAATTCTTCCTGCCTTTTGTCTTGGAGCCTGCTGCCCGCAGCGTGAAAAGCATAGGTCTAGAAGGAACTTCTTCACAGAAATCTGGTTCTGGCTGTGAGGTGGGTACCGTTGTGACATTAGCCCTGTGACTGCCCTCATTACTGTAGTGGGACAGTGCCGATAGCCCAGTGCAGACCTGCTCTTCTACTGATGGGTCTTGACATTTGTCAATAGCAAATGCTGCTTTATGAAGGTTTACTGCAGTTTAGTCTTTTAAGAAAATACTTTTAAAGTATCGATTTAGGTCATCTTAAGGCTCTTAGAAGGTGGTGTAGGGTTTCATATACTTCCATCAATTCTAGCCACGCTGAATGATCTGAACTTAAAAGTACGCTCAGCAGCACTGCTCTGTGCAATGCTGGTTTGAAACACAGCTAGTCGAGCTCAGGATACTGGAAGTGAGGTGCAAAAAGACTAACTTTACAGCTCAAGCAAGAGTAACACACACAAAATAACCTATCCATTAATTCTGTGAGGAAGATGAGTTATGATTAGTTGCAAAACTAATTTTCAGCTATTAAAAACCGATATTAGAAGTGAGAAGTTATGCTATTAAGATGCAGAGGTGTGTCTATAAAAGTATGTATCGTTAAAGCAGATGTTCAGGGAAGCTGGAAGATTTTTCGCATTTAAGCATTTGCCCAGTGTTCACAGGCATCTTGTCTCAATTGAAAAAAAAAAAAAAAAAAAAAAAAAGAAATTTCATTCCTTCCATTTTTCCCTCATTGGGACCCCCGTATCCCAGCAGAGCGCTCTGCCGGGCTGGCTGTGCGTTGAAAAAAAGGCAATTTCATTCCTTCCATTTTTCCCTCATTGGGACCCCCGTATCCCAGCAGAGCGCTCTGCCGGGCTGGCTGTGCGTTGGCACCCAGGGTGTGCTGTGGGATGAGGATTCCAGTGGTTCTCATCCATCCATATTCCAACAGAAGGAATGGAAAACTTCTGCTAGATGCGACAGAAGCGAGCCTGTTGCATCTGCTGCCAGGGTGGCTTGGTTTTCTTTTCTTTGAATCCTCCAGGATGGATCTGGCAAGTTAAAACTCGGATCCACAGTGAAATTTGGGGGTTTAGTAATTAATCTGAATGCAGCTCATTTTTAGCTGAGCTCCGCCCCGCCATCCTAACTGGAGTAGGAGTACTCCAGGAAGTCCTCCTATTTTTGAATGAGAGGACTATTAAAACTAATCTCCACTATTAAAAAGATCAGAGTGCTTTTAAATTCTTTAATGAGCCTGGCACTTGGAAAAGAACTTTTAAGCTTTTACAAGATATTTATTTTTATTTCTTTGGTTTTTACTCCAAGTCTTCTGCATATGTCTAACCAATGGGGGGCTTATGGTATACTTAGAAATGATCCTAGGGTTTGGAATGTTTTCTTTTTTTGTTTGGTGGTTGTTTTTTTGTTAATCAGATTCTACAAATTATTTGGGCTTTTTAAAATAAGTCTACAAATACTAGGAGTACGCTGTTTCTGAAACAAAACTGCATAAAAACTTTACTTTCATACTCTTCAATTTTAAGAATTGGTTGCCAAAGTAAGTTACCTAAAATTTTACTTATGTTGTGCATTGAAATGTTTTCAGTCTTTCACAACATGGTGGGGGTTTTTTTTGTTTTTTGTTTTTTTTTTGCAAGACTATTTACAGTGTTCCTTCTACAAAGGAAACATCTCAGTAATTACGCTTCTGGTTTGAACTTTTAAAAACTTTGTCTCTGGGTCTATTTTCCCTCTAATCTCAGTGGAAGAAAAAGGCATTTCTGCCTAGCTCTGCTGTTTAAAATTCTGCCCTTGCTTTAGTTTTCACCTTTCCAAAATCCTAAGCAAATGTCAAAAGTCTGTTTGCTTTCCACAAAACACCGAGCACAGTAACATGTTTAGTTCATCAAAACCCAGTATTTCACAGCCGAGAGCTCACAGCTGAAATTAGAAATGATGAAATTTGTAGCTTCAAACATACTTAAGATACAGTTTTATTTCCACCCTGCACCATTATTCACAGAATAAACACGTGCCGGGTCTCCCCGCTGCCCTGCACTGGGCGGGCGGGTGGGTGCGTGGTGGTTGTGGGCGCTTGGCTGGGTGCCGGGGGAGGCAGAAACCGGGAAATGACTGCAGGAAATGAACAGCCCGTCCTTCTGCAAAGCACCCCCCAGGGGCTTCCGGCACCCCTCGTTCCCCAGGATAACAACGGGAGACAGGGTTACTTTCTACTGTGCGATATGCCTGAAAACAGCCCGCTAAAATTTGTCTCCCCAAGCATGTTGTCTTGTCAGTTGAATTAAACAGCGTGCAATTTTCCCTCTGTGGATACCCCCAAATGTACAGATTGTGTCCAAATTCTGATGAGGGCTGGTGGGCTGCCAGGTCTCCACAACATTGAAGCTGAATTGAATTACTTTGTGATTTCAGATCTGCTAGTATTTTTTCTTTGAAGATACGAACTTGTTCATCTCAGACTGATGACAGGAGTCAAAGGTCTCTCCAACGTCTTGTGCAGCCCATCTTTATGGGCACTAAGGGCTCAGGTGGCCCAAAGCATCTGTCCAAGAAAGAAAGACCTGAAACATGGAGCCCATCACCTTTGGAAGCCCAGCAGGTTGGGTTTTTTCCCCACTTAACTACAAAGGGCCAAAACCTTTTTTTTTTCCCCAATATGTACCTTGGACAGGGCTGTAAAACCTGCTACTGTGAGGGAAAGATGATGTATTTGCCCTTCTGCTGGGGTAACAGTACACAATATTCTTCAATACATTAATCTGTTCGTGAAAGCAAAGGCAAACGTGCAAGCCCAGAAGAAAAGATTGCCTCTGGGGTCTGGTGCATCAGTTGGTGCTACACATGCTACAGCTTGTCTCCTCAAGCCCCTCTGCAGGGCCCTGCTTGTCTGAAAGCATAAACACGGGACTTTATTCTTGTAATTGATTTCAATAATGTTTATTGCCAACCTCAACTATCCATTCGCCATTGATTGGCAATTTACGATTGTGTGAGTTTATGACTACAACTTATTTAATACATATTTCAGTGCTCTGAAAGACTTACAGGGGAAATTGAAAATTAATTCAAATTCAGTGTTAAGTGAAAAAGTTAACCCTGCTCCATGTGGCTGATGGGAGTTTTCAGTCCGGCACTGCAGAACTCCCTCTAGGGCCAGGGAAGATGCTGAGCCACTTTCAAATAGCACTTTTCCAAATGGCCTGTTACCATTCACTGAGTAACCAACACACAGTTTGTCCTATGCTAATAGCACTGAGGCACCATAAACATTGCTAAAGTTATAAGTTAATATAGCAATTGTAATTTCACTGCTGAACAGTTTACTAGATTAAGGGTTGGAGTCTGCCAGCGCTTTGTAGTCGTCTTAATTCTAAGAACGGAATAGGTACATCATTAAATAATTAACTGACTTAGTTTGGGAATACCTAAGTTTGTTCCCTGCTTTTAACACATAAAATGTCAGTTGCAGTGCTTAGCAACTCTCTAAAATTAAAAGCCATATAAAATTCTTATATTCAGAATGGCCCAAGCAGTAAATGGATTAGTAACTTGCGTAAAAGTTATTACCAATGAATAAATAAAGCTGTTGCTGCTGGCAAGGGAGCACCGTGGATTACATGGATGATAGTGAGGTGCATCCCCTCTGGCACTCCAGCATGCAGGAAGATGGACAACATAGTTGATAGTTACTATAAAATTTTAAAAGGGCAGCAGTTTACAGCATTGTGCAGTGCAAGTCCTGAACTACACCGCTGTTAAACTTTAACAAGTGTGGGTACGCGTGATGTGTTTGGTGACTGAATGAATCCAAGAAGTCCTGTTACAGTCAGCTTCAGAGAGGTGATTTATTTCAGTTCAAAACCAATGCCAGAACAAAACGTTTCACTGACTCTACCCATAGTACCGCAGCAGGCTTTAGCAGACAGAAGTTAAACAGTGTTATTTTCATAAAGCCCAGTGAGAGCCACCAGATGTAGAAGGCTCCTCTCGTTCTGTTCAGCAGTGGCAAAGTAACAGATCTCAGCTGATCCAAACTGGACCAAATATGAGGAGAGGTGGTGACAAGGCACACTTTACAACACACCTGAGGTGTGTTTAGATTTTGGCAGGGAAACAAGGGGTTTGATCACAGAGGCATTAAGGCCTGAAAGGTCAGTAGTTCAGGAGAGTAGTCCACCAGAGCATCTTTAGTGTGATTGCAGCTGGATTTACTGTAAGAGATGTGACTCTGCAGCAAAACCTAGCAGGACAAAATTACACCTTTGACTTCACAACTAAATAGGATAAATACCTTCTAATAATGTGGCTTTAGGTACTTCATATACAGTAGCATGTCACTTTCCTAAAGAATGTATGTAGTCTATAGTACCAAGCCAGTAACAAAATGAAGGTCAACTGCATTCAGTTCGAACAGAAAAAAAAAAAAAAAGATTAAAAAGTGCATTTGGTTCAACAAACATCACTACTGAAAAACTTCATTTTTAGGTTGTGTGTAGCAAAAATATGCTTCTTCCTTGGGATTGTTATATATTGCATGTTTCCATTTGATGATGTGTTTTTTAAAAAGAGGTTACAGGTGAAAAGATGACCATGCCTGGAATCCGGTGATACAGACAGCTGAGTGAAAAGGAAAAACTAAGTTAATTTTTTTCCATCCTACAGTAGGTTAATCATTTAGCATATTTCAATCTAATTTTTACACAGATTTCATAACAATAAAATTAGCATAAAAAAAAAAAGACATAACTGGGAAGATAAATGGAAAACATCCCACTATATAATTTAACTAACTTAGAAAAAGCAACATACATTTCCTAATGAGCTTTACTTTGAGACACCAAGCTGCAGGGCTTGTTCTTTCCCATCAGAGGTTGCTCCAGAAAAATATTGTCCATTTACCTTAACTTTGTATCATGATTCTTTTTACTTTTACTCCTTCTTCATCTACTTTGAACAACTTCTCCTTTGCCTAAACCCTGTGTATTTCACACATTTCCAAGTATGTGTTAGCTACTGTGATCCCACCTTCATGTGGTCACTGAAGAAAGCAGAACTGAATTATGAAGGAATAAGCTGGACAGTCTCTTTTGGTTTTCTTTCTGAATTCTCTAGCCTAACATCATCTATGTACAAGGTGCCCAGGACAGTATACATCTTCATTGTCCAACGCAGTAAACAGAATAAAACATAGCAATGGAAGTGTGCCTCAAACTATGCATCTCCACAGCAACAACAGTTGCTCAAGTTTATTCTCCGCTGAGGAAGGGACCTCATGTTAAGAATATTCACCCAAAATACTTTGTTAAAAACAGAACATGACCGATTTTTTTTTTTTTTTAAGCAAAGGGAATGACAGAATTTTTCTTCCTACTTGCACTGCTTTAGCAAGAAAGAAACGGAGCTTAGTAAGGCCTGTTTGACCAAAGACATAAATGCACTAGCAACAAAGTATTTCAATTTCATTTCTCTCTGTTTTGTAACACAGTTTAAAAATAGTAATGTTCTCCAATCCTTGTAATTATAACATCAATTCTTCCTTCCTCCCTAAGTAGCTTCTGTTTTCTCCTCGACTGAACAAACCAAATCTGAATCATTCTGAATATCTGAAATGCAAGTTTGAATGCAGTTTTTTCTCTACCAGCTTTGCTTCTAATGTCTCCCTTACCATATATTTTTAGGAGTGAGTTACAATCATCATTCTCAGTGACCAATGTGTTGATCCTTCTACAGACATGCTAATTTTCTTTTGTCATCAGAGCATCCTGACTAGATTTTATATATTGCTGCTCTCTCTCAATCAGTAAGTAATTTGGCCTAAAATCCAGCTTATGTAATGACTAACCTTGTATTTCAGTACCTCCCCCTATTATGTTGCTTTGCATTCGGTATGTTATATTGTACCTTTTCTAAAGCTGTTGGATAGGTTTCAAAGAGCAAAAAACAACTTCACATCCAAACAAATATATCAGGACCAAACAATTACATTAGGACGTATGCTAGAACACCTGGCTACAGCACAAAGGAACATGTAAAATACACTGTCTGATTCTCCGAAGTACTTTCAGAGCAATTCTTATTACCTTGGTCTGAATCAGTGCTTTGCAGTCATTAATACTGAATCCATCAAATCCGAAGTCCTCATTATCTTTAATACTTGATTCTTCAAAAATGCCATCCTGGCTCTCAGAAAAGTCCTGATAAAACATAATTTACATTTTCTTTACAAATTTCTAATCGATCTCAAAGCATATAACCTAAAAAGAAGTTTCCCTTGAATAACAATAACCACTAAATTTCACTTTCTGAAGCTGTATTTTGATTTATCGCGTGCCCCCCTTGCACTAAAACAATTTTATGCCCAAACAAGTTCTACACAAATGAATCTAATTGTGACTTAAAATAAATTAATAGAAAAGCCGTTGCCAATTAAAATTAGCCTTAACCTATGCCAGAAAATAGCTGAGAAATACATCTTCATCAGTACTGTTAAAAGCAATACAGAAAAGAAGTTTAAGCTGCTTGGGCATTGATTTAATGCTGGTGTATCTATGGGCAAGAAAGGAACAGAAGGGGAGTTTAACTATGTTGGAGAAACATCTCCCATTCTCTCCTGTTAAGTGGCAGTTCTAGAAAAGTAACTCTGAAGTGCAGTATAGGTCCTATACCTTTAGCACTGTCATCCTGTTTGTATGTAACTTGCATAAAAGGTCAAATACGTCCATAAAATCAAAACCAAATGCAGTACTCCCCCCATGCTTCAGCCATCAAATTATCAATCGAAACAGTTACTTCTGAATGCCACTGTGACTCATTCGTCCCAACTAAATAACCAGGTTGAACACTAAACCATCCCCGATACCTTTATTTTCTCAAAACAAGAGATTAAACAGAGACATTTCTTTTTGAGATCTTTCAATGCTGTTGGTTTGGTCTTGGTTCAATTTAAAACATACTCCTCTCCCTCAAGCCTCGCAAAAACGGATAGAATAATCTTAGCAAAAGGGAAGTGGAACACACTTTCAGTTCATATACAGTAAAAACATCCAGTAATTACTTTAACAGCCTCTCTGATTCAAATCTGATTTTCACTTAATGGAAAGATATTAGAGGCTAACAATTTATTCATATTCTGAGCATAAAAAGAAAGCAATCTTACCACACCACATTTGAAAGCGAATTCTACATCTATACTGAAGCTGAACATACCACCTAATGCAACAGCGAGCTACACAATGGAGACTTCAACGTAGAGACGATCAAATTTGATCCTGCACAATTTCATAGTTACTTACACATAATGATGAGAAAACACTAGACTATCATTTTAAAAGGCTCTCTGTAAAGAAAAACTTATGACTCACCCAGATCTAGTTCCTTATGCATCCACATGTATAGCTTACAGAAAATCAGATTCATAACCAAGTGTTTATGCTGGCATACTAGCAAACCGTTGTTCAATTACCTTTTGATTTGCATCTATTCCAAGAACACTCATGAGGTTTTCTTGGCAATGAGATTTACTCCAGGGATGTCTTAAGCTGGGGGTATTATCAAAGTCTCTAAGTGTTCTCCATATGTTTCCAGAATCAATGCTAGGAAAGAAAACACAATTTGAGGTTATAGGGTGTACAAAGTTTCCAGTGAGTGTATATAACTTAGTTATTTTCACTACATACAGTCGTGTACTAGCCTACCTTGATCTAAAAAGAAGTATCTTGAAACTCTTTCTACATTCGTTCAAACTATCAACCCAATGTACTAATAAGCTTGCATGACAATTAACAGAAAGAGTAAGTCCACATAACTGTATGTTTGAGTTTCTCGGATAAGAAGTGCATTAGAAGCATACTTCAGAGACTGTTATATGTCAACAACTTGCATTATTCAATCGCTTCTGTGAAAAGTGGGTGGAGCTCAGCGCTACTAATTCTGCAGTTTCCATTTTCTGTCTCTCAAACCTCTCTCTTTCCTATCAGTCTTGCATCTCCACTGCGGCAGCCTGCTGCTCAGGTGGGTGACCTGTGTCTGCTGTGAGCACGTAGGTCCTACAAAACAAGCCAAAGGCGCACACACACTGCTGAAACAATGAGAATTAAGAGTTCCCTCTACATAGTACTTTGGGTTCTTACATTGCATTCATCCTATATAAATCCAGTTGCTTTTTACTTAGTACAGGATGCAATTATCATTGATCTTAGTTATTCACCACAGTAGGTCAGGGCTTTGTCTGTAGTTGGTACTCTGCTATAATATTGCAGTCCCTTTTACATATCCATCGTATTTCTCCACAAGTTTGAGGCTGATTAAAATATAAGGCATATACAAGGAACTTGCCAAAAGGATGCCCACATTAAATTTTTTAACTACATTTCTTGTGATTCTTATGGCATTTCCTAAGTATGGTCTGACCCAGCTTTCTAGATACGAAGCCTCAGATGTATGCAAAAATAACTACAATACTGTTCAGTAACTACAATATTGCTCAGAAGTTGCTGATCCTTCAAAAACATGTAACAATTCTAAAAGTGTTCCAGCTGTCTTAAGAGAAAGCTAAATTAATGATACTAATTGCTATTAGCATAACCCCAGCAAAGAAGCCAGCTGCACTGCAGTTTCTGAAGCACATCTGGTTAAACATAAAAAGAAGTTACCAGCTGGGAAAACTGGTGAAGGAGAAAAAATAAAACCAAGTGGGTTGTCAGTAGAAGCAACAGCAATGCTCCTGCCTCAGACGATGGAGAAATAAGTTAGATGTGTTGTAAAGAAAGGACAAGCGAACAGGAAGAACAGGCTGCCTGTTGGGTGTTCTGACATTCCAGAGGCTTAGTCATAAGAAGGCACACCAACAGCAGGAAGAAACCTAAGCAGGAATTTGTAATTTTGATATATTCCCTTCCTTGTTTTCCAATGGCTAAAACACAATCCATTTCCTTTAACAACATAATACAAAATTGGTAAGATCTATATCCTGAAAGAGGACAGAGATTAAAAAGATTTTTAAATTCACCTGCAAGTACCACTGATTTTTAAATTATGAAATAAACAGTGTAATTGCTGAGGAACTTTTTTTTTTTTTTTTAAACTGTTGATCTAGACTCATTACCAAAGTTGATTCTTCATAAGTTCAGGAATCCCAACGTCTTCATTATTTGTATCAAGTACTTGATCTAAGCTTTTTATGCTCTCTCTGGACTGTGATACAAAGACTTCTGGAAAGCCCAACTTAAATATATCCTCATAGCTGTGGTTTGCCTAGAAAAAACAAAATTTTATTACATACATTATACAGGCAATCCCCACAGTTCATGGAGGATCTAGTCCAAAGACTACAATGTTTCTACAGATTGTATTATTGACTGTTTTTAAAATTTAATATTAATGGCACAGAGGGATTGACCCCATAGTTCAGTGTTTTGAATATTTACCTAGAATCAGAGAAAGAGAAACAAGAGTCCAAGAGTTTCTGATGAACCTTAGTCTCTAACTTCCCAGCTACTACATTATAGACTGAGTTTACCTCCTAGCACTCAAGACTCCTTTTTCTGTTCAGCTAATTCAGTCCAGGTCAAAACTTATGTATACATCAATTCAGAAGCTTGTTTTACTAATTTAATGTTTGAACGCAAACACACCCAATTCAGCTAAACGTAACATAAGTACTAAATGCTATAGTTACCAATTAATACTTGCCACTGTGTAAGTCTGCATAAAAGCTAGGGTTGGTATGTCTCTCTATCCTTGCATTTGCACCAAACTTTTCCCAGCTCATGTTAAAAATCAGAGCCAGATTTACATACTTGTTCCTCCTCCAGCAGTGATGAGGAGGATGTTTGGAGGACTGAATATAGCCACAAGTGATCTAAACTCATGCAAACAGGCCTACTGGAAGTAACAGGGTTATCTGAAGATTAAGAAATACATATACAAGGAAAAATGTGCATAATTTACATCCTATCCTAAAGGGATGTTATCATACCATCTGGTCCAGAAGCTTCATTCTTTTATTCTTTCAAAGAAGGAATTACTGCAATTTTCTAAATCAAAGCAATTAATTGACTTCAACACCCTGCAGAGGGACTGCAATCCAGCAGCAGCAATGTTGTGTGAAAACTAGAGAATGAAAACAGTCAGTTGTTTTCTTTGCCTAGCAATCAACAATTAATCTGAAAACCAGAGGTATGGATACTTTGTATTTTGACAGGTTCATTTAATTGTAATTCAAACAGCTCAAATAAATTGAGATTATTTCCACAGTTTCATTATACTGAACTCCAAATAATGCAGTGAATATTGAGAGAGTACAGATTTCATCTAATGGGTAAGTGGGGAAAATCTACAGAGCTGGTAGAAAGCTTCTGTACTTCTGAACATCCTTCTAGAAATAGAATTTGTGCCCCACACTGCTCCTTCCTGAAGTAAGGCATTGCTGAACTGCCTGTCCCGCAGAGCAACTTCTGGGACATTCAAAGACTCTTGGGTAAAATCCTTTGAATCTTGCCTAAAATGTCATAATACTTTAAATTGATCTGTAAATTATTTCAGTAGACTTATAACAGGGATACTATATGGAATAGGAAGATGTTTGAAAAGCACAGTTCTATGAAAGCACAGGTGCTAAAGCATGCATGGAGAGTCACAGTCAAGGAAAAAACCCTCCAAGTAGGCACCAAGCCCTAAATGGGACAGGAGCAAAGGAAAAGTGAGGCAGCTGCTCTTAGCTTTCGGGGGGGAGGGGGGAATTACAGCCACAGAAGCGTGAATCAAGGGAAGCACAGGTCTGACTTGTTTGAAACATCTTCTTACAGCCTGTGATGTTATTCTGACACGCAAAGAAGTCACTCACTTACAGTTTAGCCAAGCCAGATGAAAAGCCCAACACACAGGAAAAATGCAACATCTTTTTCATATTATTTTTATCACTGCCTACTTCTAAAACAAAATTGTATTTCTATTTACCTTGTAGCTTTGTACTGACTAAAAAAAACTATGAATGAACAAATTTCACATCCGTGCTTTTTGAACAAATCATCTATATCCTATTACATCAGAATTCTCTAGGGCTTAAGCAAGTGCCCTAGTCCCTCCACACTGGCCAGTATTCAAAGAACACATGAAAAATCCTTATTCAATCATGTAGGCAAAGTATCCAGCTACTGCAAGGAAATTAGTGATTGTTTTCATCTTAAAATACTTGATTCTGCTCCAGACTGACATAATTTAATTAACTGAAGCATTAGATACTGAAGGCCAGACCTCTGACCTCAGATGATCTCTAGAGGTCCCTTCCAACCTACCTGGACTTTTTTCTATTGACCACAGAGAAGACAGAACCCCAACACAAAGAAGTTATGGTCTCAAACAAACAATACAAAAAGCACAGGGATAAGGGACAAGCTACATGTATATTCTACACCCAAAGAAATTTCAAACAGCTCTGCAGCTGTTTCTCTACCCTGAGACAAGAACAGACAACTTGAAACTCTAGGCAGGGTTAACTTATTTAGCTTGTACTGGACATTTCCTTTTGCCTTTTAATAAATGCAAAAATAAAGCAAAGGCTTCAGTAAGATTAAGATCTACTGCTTTTGGAAAGAAACTAAACAATCTGCTATATTCTATTTCAGCTCCAGTCATTACATACTCTCTTTTTTCAACATAGGACTTTTCGTCCCCAAATTTCAGCATTACAAACAATTTAAATTCTCTGTTTATGCACACCAATAACCAGGTATCTTGTGGTCTTCACTCTGTCAGTGCTGAACAGCTTACCACATGTGCATCTTTGTGCTTTCTCTAAGTAATACCTCTGCAACAGATAAAGATCCCAGGCAAGGGCAAGAACGCCTGCCTCCAGAAAACCTCAGTTCTCTACACATACTGAAACTCATCTAACAGACTACAAGCAGTAAGCTATTGCTACTACTGATTAACCCTGTTAAAGTTTTCATCAATTGCTCTCTTTTTTTTCAAATGTTTTAATCTAGGATAAAAGGAGTAAGAATGAGGGCATTTTGTTTTGTATTTGTATAGTCTTATTTTCCTTTTGTTAGTTTGCTTCACTTTGGTGATGCATGGTTGGTAAACACTGAAACACATTAATTGCAACAAGGTATAACCCTTAAACTGAACCTTTTTTTTTTCCTGTACTGATAAGGAAACATTATATAACTTAGTATTTATTCAGTTCTAACATATTAAGAGAGAATGTAACATCCTATGCCAGAAAAGGAATATTAAATTACTTCTTTTCAATTTTTTTTTGTGTCATTAGCTTCCACCCACAATCAGTCTAAAATTCCAGAAAGACTGTTGGATTATTCAGGCAGTATGTTAAATAACAAAACTTATTGTTTTTCCCAATTTCTAACTCAATTTTATGTTGTTTTACTTCAATAAGCTTGCAGGCAGCTCATAGAATTTTTTTCCACCCTATTTTTGTTACCCACCTTCCCGATTTTTTGCTTCCTATGCTCATTGTGGTCTAGCTTTTAAATCACATGTACTTTGGGGCAAGGGTCATCGTTTGTACGTGCTTACTTATTCCTAGTGTCTAGAAGGAAAGTAGTGCATTACATTCTTTAAAGCTTTCCAGCAGGATAACTTAAGTATTTGTCAAACACTGTAAAGAAGTCGCTTTTGTTCCACTTGAGTTAGCTGCAAAGTAGCTTGACAGTTTCTCTCCCTGTACAGCATTATCCTCTATAGAGAAGACATTCAGATACAAATCTTGAGATGTAGGAAGCAGTAATACAAACATTTCTGGTCTTTGGTTTACTATTAACACATACCTTATGTAGAGAGCTACAAGCCTTCTGTATCCCACTGTGTAGAGATGGCTCAGAACAAAAGTGATCAGCAGAAGCACTGCAATGTTCGCTGCTAAAGTCCATATCACCTCTAGAAGTTTTCGTTGACTTCACCAAAACTTCAAGATTATGACCCAATCTTTCTGATTTATCTAAGGGCTCCCTGAAGCCTTCAAAATCACCCCAGGAACTGCTGGGTTCTGTAATACTATAACTGCTCTCAGAAAACCCCTGACAATTTCTCCCTTTGCTATTCATTAGAGGGAGGGCTTGCTGCATTACTTCAAGATTAATTTCTTCGTTATTTGTCATTTCGTTCAAATTACAGTCACTATCATCGAGAGATGTACCACCAACTTCAATAGCTAGCTCTTTTAGAGACATCTGGTGTGATGTGTCTGTATTAGCAAGACTTTCTACTAGTGACAGGTTCTGCATCTTTGTTTAAGAAAAAATAATTTGTTGAAATCTGTACTGCAAAAAAAAAGGGCTACCGAAGTTCAGTTGCATTAGGAACCTAGGTATTTCCAAAACAGAAACAAATTCTTCATTTCACCCCAAAGAATAATAACACTGCTAAATCAAAACAGGATGTCCTTCAGCCTCTCCTCTAGTAATCAGCATGTGCATGTTATTTAGTCTCACTTTCTGTGTAGGATATTAGCCTGCAAAGAAAGAATTATAAATAAATACTTCTGTGATAAGGGCTGCGTAGGAATAAAGAAAGATAGCTGATAAGGCAGGAGAAAGAATGCTCAGGTTAAAATAAACACATTCCAGTATTATAAAACTGAAAATCACAGTAGGCAAAATTATTTTAAATTTACACTTAGCTATCTGCCCACACCACAAGCATGCCATTATATTAGTGCCCAACATTCAGAAAACACTTAACTGAAGTTGTTGGATATTGAGCACTGATTGACTATACAGGAGACAAACCGAATTATAGACAAGATGCAACACTTACTAAGTATTTTCTCTATTTATTCCCTTCATCTCGTGTATACTCAAACAGCGCTTTTTTTCTTTGCACGAGCTTTCCCTGTCCGAAAGATTCCTGAAGAGGCGAATGGGACTTGCAGCAACACAGGAACTGGCCGTGAAAAATACAGGGCTTCCAACTATTCAAGCAATTAAGGCAGGTTTAATAAGTTCAGTTCGGCATCAGTGAATTACACAGGCAATACTGCATTTATCATTTTGGACTAATCGCACTTCCTCCAGCACTTTTCCGAGTGACAAGCTGTTTTGGGGAGCGGGTTAGGAGCTCCGCTAAAACCACCTCAGATAGCCTAGCTGCTAGTACGAGATTTCCTGCGCATAACACACACAACAAATTTTGGGGTGTTATTTTTTTTTGTTTGTTTTTTTCCCCCAGAGTTCACCTCGAAGGTGGCACAGCCCGCGGGAACGGCTGGACCCTCGCCCTCCCCGCACGGCCGGGCTCGGAGGGGCCAGGCCAGGCCGGGGGAGGGCGGAGGGGCCAACTGCTACCGGGGCCTCTTTCGGGACACCCCCCACCACCCCCCGGGGCGGAGCGGGGCAGGGGAAGCCC